TCTTTCTCCTGTGGAACTGCTGGGTGGGTTTGAACCAGCAACCTTCCTATTGCCAGCATAGCACTTAACCATTGTGCCAGGCCTGGAGATGTCATGGTGTATGAAAACAGACATGATCCCTGTCCTTGAGGAGTTTATAGTCTAGGGGTGAAGACAGATATTAAGTAAACCATCTCACAGTTACAGCAAAGGGTGTTGGGAAGGAAAGACGCATGTTTCCACGAGAGCATATGAGAGTGACTTTCTTCTGGTCTGTGGGGTTGTAGTTCCTGTCCTTGAGGATGAGTGGATGGTACCGAGATGAGGAGCAGAGGGAGGGCAGGTGCAAAAGCTGGGGGGGAGGGTAGTAGGAGGGGTGGGGCGCAGTCTGCATATGGGGCTGAAGGAAGACCAGTGGAGTCAGAGCAGAAAGAACTAGAAGACAACAGCTGCAAAACGTGGCTGGAGAGTTGGAAGCGTCAGATCACGCATGACCTTGAGGCCAAGGCAGAACCAGATACGGGCTGTATCTACTTATGTCGTCACATCCTCTGTGTATACCTCTCCTGTATACATAAAGAGTACCATGGCTTTGCCCTTACCCCAGTAAAGAGCTTTTGCCCGCTTGGGGGGTGATATTGTCCGTATTGAAAATGTATGTACAGGACTCCCAGCCATAATATCTTGGTAATAGTTCTGTAGGAAAAGGGCAGGTATGCCTCCCTCACTCCCTGTGTAAAATTATGAAAGAAACACGGGCCTGGCAGACAGGAGACCTAAGTGTTATTTATCGTGGATCAGCCTTGTGGACCCAAGAAAGGAATGTCTGCTCTGGGCCTCGGTGTTCCTTATCTGCAAAGGAGGAATAATTTTCTCTGTCCATACACCTTTGCTGTGCAAAGTGTAGTCTGTGGACCAGCCACATCAGCATCATCTGGGCACTTGTTAGGGATTCAGAATCTCAGGCCTCACCCTAATCTACTGAAATCAGAATCCGCATTTAAAGTAATTCAGTTGTTTGCACATTGAAGTTTGAGACACTGATGTATACCAAACAGAGGGAGCGTGAACATCGTGCTTTACTCCCGTTTTTCAGTTTTATTTCTAGTGTCTAGCATATTACCTGGCATAAAGAAGGTTCTCCGTAAGGAAACAAGTGGATGAATACTAAAGTTGTACAAGTTGAGAGGCTATACAGATTTGATTCATTTTGGCTTAAAACTCAGGGTTATGTTGTTGCTGTTAGGCGCCGTCGAGTCGGTTCCGACTCCTAGTGACCTTATGTACCACAAAATAAAACGCTGCCTGGTCCTAAACCATCCTCACCATCATTGCCATGTTGGAGTGCATTGTTGCAGCCGCTGTGTCAGTCCTTCTCGTTGAGGATCTTCCTCTTTTTCACTGATCCTCTGCTTCACCAAGCATGATGTCCTTCTCCAGGGACTGGTCCCTCATCTTAACATGTCCAGACTATGTGAGACGAAGTCTCACCATCCTTGTTTCTAAGGAGCATTCTGGCTGTACTTCTTCCAAGACAGATTTGTTTGTTCTTTTGGCAGTCCATGGTATATTCAATATTCTTCATCAACATCATAATTCAAAGGCATCAGTTCTTCTTCGGTCTTCCTTACTCATCGTCCAGCTTTCACATGCATATGAGGCAGTTGAAAATACCCAGGCTTGGGTCAGGCACACCTTAGTCCTCACAGTGGCATCCTTGCTTTTTAACACTTTAAGGAGGTCTTTTGCAGCAGATTTACCCAGTGCAATGTGTTGTTTGATTTCTTGACTGCTGCTTCCATGGGTGTTGATTGTGGATCCAAGTAAAATGAAATCCTTGACAACTTCAGTCTTTTCTGTTTATCATGATGTTGCTTATTGGACCAGTTATGAGGATTTTTTTTTTCTTTATGTTCAGGTGTAATCCATACTGAAGGCTGTGGTCTTTGATCTTCACCAATAAGTGCTTCAAGTCCTGTTCACTTTCAGCAAGCAAGGTTGTGTCATCTGCATATCACAGGTTGTTAATGAGTCTTCCTCCAATCCTGATGACCCATTCTTCATACAGTCCAGCTTCTCCGATTATTTGCTCAGCATACAGAGTGAATAAGTACGGTGAAAGGATACAACCCTGACACATGCCTTTTCTGTTTTAAACTCCTCAGTATCCCCTTGTTCTGTTCAAATAACCACCTCTTGGCTTATGTACAGGTTCCAAATGAGCACAATTAAGTGTTCTGGAATTCCCATTCTTCGCAATGTTATCCATAATTTGTTATAGTTCACATAGTCGAATGCCTATGTGTCAGAAAATATTTTCCTTGGCTTGGTCGTGGCCAGAGATCATGCCTGTTAGTTAAGGCCAGCAGTGATTTCCTCTGAAGTCTTCCCCTGCCCTCCCCTTCACTTCCTAGCCATCATTCCTGTTGAGTTTTATTGTAGGGCCAGTTCTGAAGATAGCAGCAGAGACATGCACATTACCACTTGGGAGAGCGCCCAGCCACCTCAGGAAGTATGTGCTGGGTAATGTGGAGCCTGCGGGGCAGCCAGGCTTGTGTCCCCTAGACTCTGCAGTCCACCAAGTGATAACCCATGTTAATTTTCAATCATTTACAATTCTTCAGTGGCTTGTATTTACCACCATTAAGTGATACATAGATTCTTCACGTGGAGTCTGGCGTGCACAGTGCATACTCTCCCGAAGGGCTGTGTTTCTGCTGTGGCTGGACCTTGCTTGTTGGTGACTTGGTGGAGACTCGTGATCAGGTGGGCACAGAGCTTTACAGAGGGAACCAGTTGCTGTTGAATTGACTCTGACTCATGGCGACCCTGTATGCATCACAGTCGAACCATGCTCTCTAGGGTTTTCAATGGCTGGTTTTGGGAAGTGGATCACCAGGCCTTTCTTCCAAGGCACTTCTTCCAACCTTTCGGTTGGCAGCCAAGCACTTTAGTTGTTTGCGTCACCCAGGGACTCCTTTCGGACGGCAGGAGTCATAAACTCAAATGTGTGAGGGGCACACAGGTTGCCTAAGAGGGTGAAGTAGGGCTGGGTAGAGGCCCTGGGGAACGATGATGACCGGCAAATGGGAGTGCACGAGGTTGGCAGTTTGAACCCACGCGGCAGCTCCTGAAAAAACAACATGGCGATCTGCTTCCATAAAGGTTACAGCCAAGAAAACCCTATGGGGCAGTTCTCCTTTGTAACAGAGGAGGTTGCTGTGAGCTGGGGGTCAGCTGAACAGCAGCTGCCAACCATGTGGTAGGTACTTGAGACGTGTAAACGTATCTCCCTGATCCTCTCAGCAAGGTGCAGCCTCGTTCTAAAGACTGGAAGCATATACTGCATTTACCAAGCCTCACTCTAGTGCCAGGCTCCAGTGAGGGCTAAAGGCTTTAAAGGAGCCCTGGTGGTGCAGTTGTTAAAGCACTTGGCTGCTAACAGAAAGGTCAGCTGTTCAAATCCACCAGCTGCTCTTTGGAAACCCCGGGGGGCAGTTCTACTCCGTCCTATAGGGTCGCTATGAGTCAGAATCGGCTTGACAGCAGTGGGTATTTTTTCGGCCTTCAAAAAAGTTGCATTATTGAAACTTCATGATAGTACAGTACTGTGAATTTATAGTTTATTATTGTCTCTCTTTGCTTTTCTGCTTGTGTAATGAAATGAGTTTCATGTATTTGTGTACAGAGGTTAGACAGCGTGGTGGGATCCTTGAGAAGAAACAGCGTGTACAGGATTTATTATTCTTTACAAGTTCTGCTTTATTTAGCATAGAATTATACAGACATTGCTTAGGGTTCATTGGCAGGCTCAGCCTCATTTCTTATGCTCCTGGCCTTCCTCTGACAGACGCAAAATTGTGAATATGGATCAACTACATTGTAAGGTTGATACTTGTTCATTTGGTTTTTTTATGTAGTTACTGAGTATTGTTGATCATGAGCTGTGTTTTCAAACCGTGGCCGTTCAGGAACTATTTTCATGATTTTGTTCATATCTGAATATAATGTCGTTATTTACTTAATGTTTTCTTTAAAATAAGCTCACTTTTTACTTAAGTTTTCAAAAGAAAACTCTGATCACTACTTTGCCATTATTTATTCCATTGATTAATTTCTTATTGCTATAAAGCTTCCTTTTTAAACTTTAAGCTAAAAATAAGTCAATTTTTTAAAGTATTGCTTTGTAACTTAGTTTTTAAAAGGAAATTTTTATCGTTACCATAATTTACTTCATGGATTTTTCTAGTGCACATTAAAAATAAGTGTCTCATATCTACTAAAATAAAACATTAAAATGTCAGATATCCATCCATGTACCACCCACACTCACCTCGCACACTGTGGTGAGACCGGAACCAAACCTGGGGAAAAAGCGACAGCAGACGAAAAGGGGCCGGTCCAAAAACAGTGACCCGTGAGGGGTGCCACCACGGACGCAGAGTGCTCTGGTAGAGCTTGGCAGACGTTCGTCCTCACCCCTGCTCACCCTGGGAGTCAGGCCTGCCGGTCAGCTCGAGTGGTGCCACGTGGTGTTCTCTGTCCTCGTCTTTAATAATGCCCTGACTCACTCTCGAAGATCCCTTATGGAGGGAAGGTGACCTCAACGTTTTAGTCCTGTAAAGGTGCTGGCAGTAATGATTTTTTATTTTCTGTGGGGCTCACTCTAAATTGTATTCAGCATCATACTCGTGCATATATGTAAAAAGGTGACAAATTGGAATTCAAATGTAATGAGGATGAAGTTCTGCTCTTAAGCACCGGCCCCTTTGTTTTAGCCCTGGTAGACTCTGTGCCAAAATAATGTGGCGTTCCTCCCCACCTCTGAATGCACGTGTCTAGCTGGGTAAGAAAGACATGTTCTCTAATGCATTCCAGAAGTGAAATGCAGTTGGTTCTGGTTTTCTAGTTTAATTTTTTTGTTTTTTATTAACGTGCTGAGATTTGGATGTGAAGTCTTGAAGGAAAGAAAAGTACTGTATTCTTTTTGAAACATGCGAATGTGTCTCTCCATCACCTAGGAAACTATTATGGGACACCCAAACCTCCTAGCCAGCCAGTCAGTGGGAAAGTGACTACAACGGATGCCTTGCAAAGCCTGCAGTCTGGCTCCAAGCAGACGGCCCCAAAGCGAACCAAGTCTTACAATGACATGCACAATGCTGGCATAGTCCATGTGGAGAATGAGGAGGAGGATGACGCTCCTGAAATGAACAGTAGCTTTACAGGTAAAGGCCAGACCATGTCCTCTCAGCACACGTGGGGACAGCGGGTGGTGGGGAGGCTTTAATAAAGAGTTAGGACGAGAAGGCTGCTGTTCTACAGAGGATTCTGTAGGTTCTCGAAAATTTGTACTCTGACTACACCATGCTTCGGGTAGAGGTGGTCCTTCCCCTGCTTGAGCTTTCATGTCTCTTCACAACAATATTTTAACATCACCCAAATATCTCAAAGGGGTTGGGGGGAGTGTGCAGAAGGGGGTCAAAACTAGTCAGCATTGTTTATTTCTCTCCAAAATGATATTTTATAAATGGATAGGGAGATAGATAGGTAGGTAGGTAGGTGAATAGATGGATAGATAGATAGATATAGGAATATAGATATAAGAATAGGTATAGATACATTTTATTTATTTTTTGGCCTTGAAACAGCTCCTTAATTATGACTGATCTCTTATGAAGAGAAATATTATAATTTAACAACTTAATATCAATTGATACTGTATGGACAGTTAGCAGCATCCTTTGATTTCATGCCTTGTAATTGGAGATAAATGGAAGTATATCATGTGTTCAGTTAACTTATATACATTTTACTGTATGTCCTAAAGTGAGAAGAGATGGGAAAGTAACAAATACTGTCAGACTATATCTTGCATGTGCTGAAGAGGTATTCTGTGTTATATATGTTACTGAATGTACTGTCCATCTGTCTATCTATCTATCCCCAAATGTATTCATTTTAGGAAGGAATCCTCCAGGACAAGGCCTCTGGGTAATGCCACACAGGCTGGGTGTTGCACAGCCCCAGCGGCACCATTCACGGGGGCTGCGGGGTGTATTCCCTGTTAGTGCCATGAAGCCGTGCTGTTCAAGAACGCTTTTCACTGTGTGAGGGTCTGACCTTATGTAGTAACTCACAATGTAACAACTGCGTAAGATACCAGTAACTGGTCTGTAATATGGTAACTTACAAAAACGTCTTGTTTCTTCCATCACTCCTATACTTAAACATGTCCTTCAGTATTACCGAGTTACAGCTGTGGACAGTGTATACACTGTCAGCATCTGAGACTGTAGTCTGTTAGAGTAGCCTTCTCTCACATCACCACACTGGAGCTTCACTGCATTGACCTGGGCCCCTGGAAAGGGGACATTAGTGGACTCAGTGTTTCTCCCCCTGTGCTAAACCTATTGCTGTCGAGTCGATTCCAACTCATAGCGACTCTGTAGGACAGAGCAGAACTGCTCCGTAGGGTTCCCAAGGCTGTCATCATTACAGAAGCAGACTACCACATCTTTCTCCTGCAGAGATGGTAGGTTCAAACCACCAACCTTTCAGTTAGTAGCCGAGTGCTTTAACCACTGTGCCACCAGGGCTCCTTCCCCCTGTGCTATGAAGTCTAATAAAATATTTAGGAAAAGGCTTGTATTGGTTGGATGCTGCCTACAGCTTTTATGGACCTGAGGTTTTCTCTCATTTGTTACCTAAACTCAGAAGCCCAAAATTCTTCAAGATGACAATTAAAAATTTCTTTCGCTAACTTTATTGCCATGAAAGTAACCCTAAACCTTCTGCAAGAAGCTTGGGGTGAGTGAGGAGAAGATGCGCTTCATTCTCCTGGCTGGTTCTTGGTAGCTGTCTTATTATGAAGATGATACCTAACCTCCCTCATCTGTAAAGTGACTGGCTAGGGTGAGTTTGTTTCTAAGTTCCCTCTTCCAGCTCGAAGAATTTGATTCCATGAAAATTGCCATTTTTTAATTAGGCCAGTAGCTGACCTGTAATTGCAATATCTGAAAGAAATTTTCTTGCTTTTTCATATTATTTAGAAAAATCAGCTGATTTTATTCACCTAGGAATATTTCATTATTTTTAGTCATCCTCACTGAAATGAACACCGATTAAGAAAAAATGTCCAACACTTCTTTTTAAAAATAGGCATTTCTTTAATGTTTTTATCTTTCAATAAATAAGGATAGCAAATTATGATACGACCCAAAACAGAGATGTCTGCACAGAATCAGAAGAACAGTTCTGCCAAACCAACCGGATGGTCCCCAAGAAGCACATGTGCCTTTATCTGTCCTTTGTGTGTTAAGAAGAAGTTTTTGGTAGAAAGCAAGAACAAAGTAGAGGCTGTTGACTGTAGGACTTGATACATTTCCTGTTGCTAGCTGCTATAAATCTCTGTCTCTACAAGCCATACCTCAGAAGACCTGGAATCTCCACTTGAGATCCTGGCATCGAGGAAACACTTAGGGTCCGGCCACTATTGCTAAAATCAGTCTGATCAGCAGTATCTGCTGAAAACAGAAAGCCAGGTGGTACCTGGTGGTCTCCTTCAGGCTCCTATCTTAACACCAAGAGAGCAGATAGGATGCACTGAGAGAGGATTGTCCTTGAGATATGATGGGACATCCTCAGGATGTAAGCAGTATGCCAAATAAATGCCCCTTCACTTACAAAACTGCAGCTGTAACAGCTGACAATTTGCTGTCCACTAACTCATCCTGGTTTTTTCAAATGATTGACCCAGGTGGTCTCTGATATGTGTGTGAAACTGGCTGTGTCGAAGCATTTTGCACTCTGAATCACTTTAAGTGACAGATTCATCAGCCACTTTGAGCATAGAGTGACAGTATCATAATGAAGTCTTGACCCTTGATTGGATCATTATGATAAAGGCATGAGCATCATATCCAAATGTAGAAATAGTATGGCGCTGTTGAAAATATTTAACGGAATTTTTAAATTACATGCTGTTGCTACTGAATAGCTGCCTTTTGTTAGGGTGTTTTGAAGGAGGTGCCCAGGTAACATGGGGAAGGCCTGCAGGCCAGAGAGAAGGGGACTAATGGCTGGCAGTATCCTGGGGAGGTGGCCCATACGTCCTTCCTCCAGCCAATGATTGAGGCAGACTGTGCCATGAGCAGCCATCCCAGATACTCACCATCGGACTGACTGTTGGACATAAGACACAGTCTTCTACAAATTATACCCAAATTTTGGACCTCAAAGGAGCCCTTGAAAAAGAACACTCACAGTAAACAGTTATTTAAACAAATACTTTTGTAAAAACATCTTGTTCATTGTCGACAACTTGAAAAATATATAGCAGACCACCACCACTGGAAAACAGCTGTTTTACCCATCACCACCTCCAAGAGATATCGAAATGTTATTTAAATGGGTTTCTAGGCTCGTTTTCCAAGAGCCCCCTATGGAGCATTGGTTTGGTGATTTTTTTGCATTGGTAGACAGTGATAAAGCATTACTTTGGAATGCCAAGAGATAGTAACTATTGTTAAGAGCTAATGTTTCTCAAGTGCTGACTATGTGGCAGGCACTTTGCTAAGGACGGTCCAATAATTTGTCCAGTATCACAAAGCCAGTGAGTTAAAACTGTAATGTCAACCCAGAAAGTCTGGCTCCAGGACCTATGTGCCCATTCACTATGCTATTTGTATTTTAAGTCAAGTTCATCGATTCTCTGAAACCTCAAAGATTTTGACTGGTTGTGTACCAGTGAGGGACGCACGTGAATCTATAAGCAGTTAAAATAAGTTTGGCTTTTTTTTTTTTTTTGTCATGAGCGTATGGTCCTAGGGTCACCATAGAAAGTCCCCAAGAGTGTGCATGTGTAAATGCTCGGAAGCTTCTGATTTACTATGAATAAAATTGTTGTTTATGTTCATCTGCTGTTTACAGTGTATTTGGTAAATCTCCTGGAAATCTTGGAAGATAAGCAAGCTAGATATTACCCTCCCCATTTTGCACATGATCACACCGAGGGACGGGGAGGTTAAAAGAGCGCAGAGCAGTCTAGCGTTAGACAATGGTGGAACCAGGCCTTCTGTCTCCTCGTCCTGTCCGTGTTCAATATTTCATACTGCCTGTCTTCCTTGGGTTCACTGGCAGCTTCTAGTAAGAAGGGGACAGCAGCACTACCAAATGTTTGGTAAATTAAATGCAAGAGTTATTGAAATTGAGAGCATGTGTCAGAGTCCAAGCCGTGATTGTGGCTGTGAGTTCTTGAGACTGCGCTGTGTCTGCATCGGCCTTCCCTTTTCAGACTTTGTTTCCTTTCATAGGAACGGGATTGATTATGGTTCTGTTGAACTGAAAAGAAGACATGGAAGGCACTTAAAGTAGAAACAAATATTTGGATAATTTAAAAGAAGGTCCAGTTGCTGGAGGGATTTTTTTTTTTCTCCAGGAAATTAAAACTACTTTGAAACCTTCCCACTGAGCTGATGTGCCTTTAACGTAGTCAAGTTTTAGTACGCTGATTGTTTTGTGTGATCGTGAATTGTATACACTGAAGGTTAAACTGAGGCTGTCTCTTACTTTGTTTGTAGTAGCCCACCCATTGCCACAACCCTTTTTCTTTACATCCAGCTTCTATTAAAATGGCTTATTGAAATTTTAAAACAAGATTATTGCAGGTCCACTGTTGCTCTGGCCCTTTGCTGGCTCTTAAGGATCATATAAAAGACAATTGCTGACTTTGGACATTTGCATTCAAGGACTGGATACTGGTCCGATAACCTGGCAGACACTTTTCTAAACACTTTGCATGTACTGTCTCATCTAGTTTTCATGGCATTGTACCCAGTTTACAGACGAGGAAACTGATGCTCAGAATGGTAATGTCCCTTCCAAAGTCACATGGCTAGAAAGAGGCAAAACTGTGATTTGATCTGAGGTCTGATGTCAAAACTTATTCTTTTTCTGCTCATTTGTAACAAATTGGCAGCCTGGGAAGCAGATCTGGCGTGTGGACAAATATTAACAGTGTTGATTTTGATGATGATGAAGGAGACTATGATAATGGTGATTAACAGTTAAATTGTGTTTACTGTGGGCTAGACACTGTTTCGAGTGCTTTGCATAAAGTAACTCGTTTAACCCTCCCTGCAATCCTATGAGGTCGGTGCTGTTACTCCTCTCACTTTACGGATGAGGAAATTAAGATGCATAGAGGCTACGTAAGGTGCCCCAGATAGTAAATTGATAAAGCCAAGATTCCAGATCAGGCATTCTGGCTCCAGAGTCATTGCTTTTTGTAAGCACTACATTTTGCTTATTGCTTGTGTCACACTGCATTCTTTTTTAAAGGAACCACAATAAAAAAAAAATTGGGAGATTTTGCATAAAAATACAGATTTCCACCTACTCTTGAAAAATCCAAGATTTGGGAACCCTGAGCCCCCATTCCTCCAGGACGCCCATTGTTTGGCACTGAGTACCCTGCTGCCTTTACACTGGGTGCGCCCTCTCCAGGGCTCCATCCACACACACCTCACTGTGTCTCTGGCCTGGCATGGGTGAACTTAGGAGTTTGCACTCCGAGGCGTCACCACACAGGCCTTTCGGCTGCCGGACAACACCCTCCTGAAAGCTGAAGATTCTAGTGATTCTGGCATGTGGCAATGAGAAACCCAGGAGAGAGTGAACCCCAACACAAACTGAGGCATTTTAACAATTGATTTCCCACCTCATTTTTTTCTTTCAACTCTTCTGAGAACTGTTTATGTCTTTGTCCTCCAAGTGTGGTTCTTGTAACCTTACCACAAATCTAATCTCTGGAGTAGGAAGCCAAAATTCTACGTTTTAACAAGCTCTTCTGGTGATTCTTAGATAGACTTCAGTGTGAAAAGCTGTATCTTCCAAACATGCCAACAATGAGTACATACTGGCTCCTAGAGAATCAGGGTCAATCTTTTACTTACTGCCCACTTTTGAATTTATTTTATTATTGGTTAGTCATTTCAAAATGTTTCTCTCCTCCGTGTTGACCTAATTTCCTTCTGTCTCCTTCAGACTGACAGCTGTTTTATTAATCAGGACACCTGGATACTAGTTCTGAAACCAACTCCAATTGATTAAGCAAATCTGGGGGATCAGGCAACTGAAGAAGGCAGGGTGTGGTCAGAGGCTCAATCTGATTAGGCAACCTTCTCCCTCTTTACTCCCTGCTTTCCTTTGTGTGGGCGTAATTGTCAGGCAGGTCTTGTCAAGCTGTGTCACCATGGCCAGAAACACCTATAGCGTGAGAACTTAGCAGGTTAGTAACCCCAGCATTAAGGGGTCACCTCTTGCTTGATACTTGCAGCAAAAGTTCCAGGGCTGACATTGATTCATTTGCTTTGGGTCATGTGCCCATTCCTGAATGAATCTCAAAGGCAAGAGCGATAAGAGTACTCCTAAGTGTGACATGGGTCCACCCAGCAGCCAGGAGTGAGTTTCAGTCAGTCCCCTCCTGGACCACATGGACCTGGAGGGACATCTGAGTTGGTGATACCAGAAGAGGGAATGAGTGCAGGGCAGGAAAAAGCAGAGAGAGCCTCCTCAAAGGTGGTGGGTGTTGGGTGGAGGTGGTTGTCTGGTAGGCTCAGCGTGTCTTCCAGTAACTTTTGGATTATCTTCAGTTTTGTGTGTGTCATTGGGAGCTACTCATCAGAGAAAAGTTGACAACAGCCTTTTATTCTTCAGTGTGCTTTCAGTAAATAAGAAATGTCTTCAAGAGAATTACTCTAGGAGATAGGAAATAACTACATCCCCTGATTATTATGTTTGAAAGCCCCATGGAGATTGACATTTAATATCATCAGCCTCTGTAAACATTCAGCCGAATGTCAACAGTGCCATTTGTGGATCCTTTGATGACATCACCTCTTGATGTTTCTAGTTAATAAGAAGGCAAAGAGACTCACATACTTAGAGCCCTCTCTTAAAATCCAGGTCAGATCAGTTCGCTCGCACGATGCTGTTCTGGACTAACTGTCCTGGTTTTCGCAGGGACATTCTCTTCACTTTTCCAAAAGACGCTTGAATCTGACTCACTGGTGTAGCTGTCTCTGTGTTCTAAACTTGTGTACACTCTGCAGCTCAAAGCCTAAGAGTCTCTGATCTTGGCCAGTGTCTACCGATAATTTTGTAAATAGTTTATGCAAAAATGGAAAATAATGCCACTCTGTCTGTGTTTTCATCATAGACTTTTTTCTTACCCCCAGAAGGCTTCTCAGTCATAAAACAAAGCGAAGCCTACAGAATGAGAGCCCAACTCAGATGCATGTTTTGATGGTCTTCTTAATTTCCGCGACTTTAGGGCTTGAGTCATGAAATTGTGTCTTCTTTGACATTTCCAAGAGTGTGAATAATGCATTTTTGAATATGTTTCTCTCCTCATTCTTTTTAGGTAAAATAAATTGGATCAATTATTTTGAGGCTTACTTTCAAAGGAACATCCCTCTAAATGAAACAGGAGTCATAGTCAATGGCCAGCAATTAGGAAAGGAGGAGGACTTTTAAGAATATAGGTACAGTGGTGTACTTCACCAAGGAGCCCTGGTGGCACAGTGGTTAAGCACTCAGCTCCTAACTGAAAGGTTGGTGGTTTGAACCCACCTATTGGCTCTGAGGGAGGAAAGACATGGTGATCTGCTCCCATAAAGTTTACAGCCTAGGAAACCCTATGGGGTGGTGCTGCTCCGTCACTGGGGGTTGCCATGAGTCGACATCAACTCGACGGCACCCAACAACAGTGCACTTCACCAGGTTTGGAATGTGATCGATGAATAACTTTTTCCTCTTTCTCTCTCTCTCCCCCACGTGATTGAACAGCCGATTCTGGTGACCAAGACGAGCACACGCTCCAAGAGACAGCGCTACTGCCTGAGAATAGTGGTATCGCTGCTGCTCCCATCACGGACCCTTCTCAGAAGTTCCCTCAATACCTACCTCTTTCTGCAGAGGATAATTTAGGTCCTCTACCTGCAAACTGGGAGATGGCCTATACTGAAAATGGAGAAGTCTATTTCATAGAGTAAAGTATACCATTATTTCTACCTGAATCTCGCCCTCTCTTTCCCCTTCCATCCCTCCCTCCAGCAGCTACAGATGCAAATTAAATCTAAAAGGATTGATCACACACTGAGGGTATTCTCTCACACGGTTTAAAAAGCTTTGCACAAAAAAGGTAATTAGCTATATCATCCTAATCATTGAGTCTAAGAGCATGAAGAAGCATAACATTAATAATTTTGCTAAAGGATTAGACAACTAAATCATGGCATAAATTATGGTATAACATATACAGAATATATTTAGCCATTAAAAATAAGTCCTTCACTCATTTTTTTTTTTAAATTGTGTTGCAATTTTCTTATTCTGATGATGAAGAAATTTAAGAGTTCTTCATCTACTCTGGATACAATGCTTTATCATATATGTGATTTGCAAACATTTTCTCCAAGTCTTTTCTTTTTATTGCCCTGTGTCTTCTGAAGAGTAGAAATGCTTAATTTTGATGAAGTCTAATTTATCAGTTTTTTGTTTTGTTGAATATGATTTTGGTGTAGTAGCTAAGAAATTTTGCCTAAACCAAGATCATAAAGATTTTCTACTGTGTTTTTTTTTTGTGTAAGTTTTATATTTTATATTTCGGTCTATGATTCATTTTAAGGTAATTTTTGTACATGGTGTGAGACATGTGGATTGAAGTTGGAGACTGGGTAGATGTGAAAGTCTTTCAAAAATATGAAACTTAAATCCTTTATAGCTGAGCATTTAATAAATAACCTTTACTGAAAAGGAAAAAAAAATACATATAATTTAAACCATTCTAGAAAGTCTAAGATGTGTGATCTTCCTAACCAACAATAGTCAGTTTTTAAAATGCTATACTTGGGCTCTGTTATCCACCATTGAGTCACAGTTATTTTATGTACCACTAAAAAAGAAAAACAACAAGGCCAATTAAGCTGGAAAAAAAAGAAAAAGTGTAGGGAAATTTATTACTAACATAGATTGAAATGGAAGATGTACCGTTAAGTGAACAATAAAAGGGAGGGCATTGCGGAACAATATATGTATTACCGTAATTTTGTAAAATATATGTATTATACACGTGTGTGAAGACAACTTGAAGCACTTCCTGATGAAAGTAAAAGATGGCCTTTAGTATGGATTACAACTGAACGTACAGAAAACTAAAATCCTTGCAACTGGACTAGTAAAAAACATTATGATAAATGATGAAGAAGTTGAAGTTATGAAAGATTTCATTCTTGGATCGACAATCAACACCAGTGGAAGCAGCAGTCAAGAAATCAAACGACATATTGCATTGGGCAAATCTGCTGCAAAAGACATCTTTAAAGTGTTAAAAAGCAAAGATGTCAGTTTGATGACTAAGGTGCACGTGATCCAAGCCATGGGATTTTCAGTCGCCTCTGTCTTAGTTATCTAGTGCTGCTATAACAGAAATACCACAAGTGGATGGCTTTAACAAACAGAAATTTATTCTCTCAGTCTAGGAAGCTGGAAGTCCAAATTCAGGGTGTCAGCTCTGAGGGAAGGCTTCTCTCTCTGTTGGCTCTGGGAGAAGGTCCTGCCTATCAGTCTTCCCCTGGTCTAGGAGCTTTTCAGCTCCCCTCCTGGTTCTTCATTTCTGGTGGTGTGAGGTCACCCTACTCTCTCTTTTATGCCTCAAAAGAGATTGACTCAAAATACAACCTAATCCTGTAGATTGAGTCCTGCCTCATTTACATAACTGCCTCTAATCCTTTCTCATTAACATCATAAAGGTTAGGATTTACAACACATAGGATAATCACATCAGATTACAAAATGGTGGACAACCACACAATACTGGGAATCATGGCCTAGCCAGATTGACACACATTTTTGGTGGAAACAGTTCAATCCATAGCAGCCTTATGTGAAAGCTGGACAATGAAAATGGAAGACCAAAGAATTGAGGCATTCAGATTGTGGTGTTGGTGAAGAATATTGAATATACCAAGGACTGCTTAGAAGCATGAACAAATCTTGCAGGAAGTACAGCTTAGAATGCCTCTTAAAGGTGAGGGTGGCGAGACTTTGTCTCACTCACTTTGGGCATATCGTCAGAAGGGACTAATTGCTAGAGAAAGACATCGTGCTTGATAAAGTAGAGGGTCAACAAAAAAAGAGGGAGACCCTCAGTGAGATGGATTGACACAGTGGCTGCAACAGTGGGTTCAAACATAGCAACGATTGTGAGGATGGCACAAGACCAGGCAACCTTTCATTCTGTTAATCATACAGTTGCTGTGAGTCTATGGCACGTAACAACAACATACGCACATATGATGTGTATTACATGGGTATCTTTGTTTCTGTGGCTCTGTCAGTATAGTTCTGCGTATGAAAAAAATCTGGAAGTGTATCTTAACAGTTAGGCTTGAGTTAAGTTAGGAATTTACTTTTTAATCACATTATACATTTCTTTGTAGTTTTAATATTTTATACTGAGCATATATTTTATAACGAGGAAAAAAGAAAAAACAAGCTAAAAAAGTATTTTTCCTAAAGACATGGGCATGAGGGAAAGACTTGGGTCTTAGAACACTCTCTTTGAGAACCTACCTAGGAAGACTGAGATAAACGACCTAGAGCTCCTGTGATAGTTTGGACTTCAACGGAACTCCACATAGGCTGAGTGAGGGTCCTAGACTTTACCACTACCTGGCAGGAATAAGGCGGCACTCTCCTTTACCCTGCCACAGCAATGTCAGAGGAAGACAGCTAACATAAAAGGTTTAAATAAGATCTGAAGTCCCAAAGTCTAATATTAAGAGCCAGAAAGCTTTCATAGTGCATGGAAAAAGAGAATAGATGCCACACCAGGATGACAGAGAAGTTAGAATTTCCTGGCAAAGAGTTTAGAGCAGCCATCATAAAAGTGCTCAATGAGCAATTAGAAACATGCTTGGAACAAATGAAAAATAGAAAGTTTTGGGGAAAAACAAAGTCTTAGCAAGGAAATAGAAGATACCAAAAGAAAGGAAAATTTTAAACTGAGAAAATAGAATAATTGAAGTAAAAAGCTCAGTGGATGGGTTCAACAGCAGAATAGAGGGGACAGAGAAAAGAAACAAGGAACTTGAAGATAGAAAATAGAAATTACCCAATCTGAGAAAATTGACTGGGGGAAAAGTGAACAGAGCTTAAAAACCAAACCATTCAATTAGAAAATGAGCAAAAGCCATGAACAGACAGTTTACTAACGAGGATATACAGATGGCAAATATCATTTATCCCAGAGAGTTAAGTTATGTTAAGTTATGTTAAGTTATGTTCACCTCCCCAAAATTTTTTTCAAACAAATTTCTTGTTTTTTTTCTGGTTTGTAGCCAAAACTACTTGACTTGTAGTTCCTTGCCCCACCTACTTAGTTTGTGGAGAGTGGATTGGGGACTTAAGCAGAATTTTGTCCCAGAAATGAAAAGATGTTCAACATCATTATCCATTAGAGAAATGCAGATTAAAACCAAAATGAGATATTACTACACACCTATCAGAATGGCTAAAAACTGTGACAACACTAGCTGGTGGCGAGGCTGCAGAGGAACTGAATCACTCATGCATTGCTGGTGGAATGTGAAATGGTGCAGCATCTAGAAGACAGTTTGGCTAGTTCTTAAAAACTAAACATGCGGCTGTCACACAACCTGGTATTTGCACATCTGATCATTTATTCCAGACAAGTGAACATTTACGTTGGTCCAAAAGATCTGTACATGAATGTTTATAACAGATGGATTCATAGTATCTCCCAAACTGGAAACAACACAGATGTCCTTCAATGGCTGAACAGTGGTATGTCCATACCATAGAATACTACTAATCAATAAAAAGAACTAATTATTGATACATGCAACAAGCTGGATGAATGTCATGCCAGTCCCCAAAGGTTACATACTGTGAAATTATGGAAGTGGAGAACCAATTAGGAGAGAGATGCGGGGGCGGAGTGGGGGCTTAGGAAGGGTACTGTGTGCGGCTGTAAAAGGGCAATACGAGGATCCCTGTATCTTGACTATATCAATATCCTTATTGTGATATTGTGCTAGAGTTTTATAAGATGTTACCATTGGTGGAAGGAGCCCTGGTGTTGCAGTGATGAAGCACTCAGCTGCTAACCCAGAGGTTAACGGTTCAAACCCACCAGCCACTCCATGGGAGAAAGAAGTGGTAGTCTGCTTTCATAAAGGTTACAGCCTTGGAAACCCTGTGGGGCAGTTCTTCTCTGTCCTATAGGGTTGTTATTAGTCAGGATCAACTTTATGGCAATGGGCACCATTGGTGGAACCTGGGTAAAGGGCATATGGGCTCTCTCTGTACTCTTTCGTGTAACTGCATGTGAATCTACAATTATCTCAAAAAGTTTTGTCTTGTTTTTTAAATTATGCATAATTCTCCCTCCCAGCAATGATCATTTTTGCTAGGAGTAGTACGGACCATAGGACCACACCATAGAATCCCTGGGTTTGATTCCAAGTTCTGTGATTTACCAGCAGAGGATCTTTTGACAAATTCTTTCACCTCTCCATCCTTAGTTTTCTCATCTGGCAAATGGAGAGTAATAATTTTAATACTAATAATTCCCTGATTATTCTAAGGGTTAAATAAATTTTAATTTATATATAAAATACTTAAAACAGATCTTGGTAGTAGTACATGCACCAATTAGTAGTGGTCATTGTTGTTGTTACTGGATTACCTTTTTTTTTCTTTTAACACAGATGAGATGACATGTATATACGTTTGCCCGTTCTGTTTTTCATTTAAGCGATATTTTTTCATTAGCAATAACTAAGATTTGAATCTAAAATAAAGAAATTTAATATTTTTTTCTCATATTTATAACCTAAACTTGAAGCTTCAAAAAAAAAAAAAAAAAGGTTACTACCTAAACTTCAGGAGTCCCTGGGTGGTACAAATGGTTAAGCACTGCACTACCCGAAAGATAGGTGGTTTGAACCCACCCAGAGGTGCCTCTGAAGACAAGCCTAGCAATCTGCTTCTGAAAGGTCACAGCCAGGGCTGGATTACCCAGTAAGCACAGTACTCACGGCCTTCCTTGTGCATACTTACTAATCTGCAGTGAACAGTTTCACCTGTTCTGTTCACTGCAGGTTGGTAGATACGCACAAGCGAGCCTGCGATACCTTGCTTAGTGTCCATCGGCGTGTGCCTTGCTCGCTAGTTGAATCCATGCCTGGCCTTGAAGACCTGCGGAGTCTTCCCCATACGTGGGTTCGCCGTCTGGGGTTGCCATGAGTCGGAATCAACTTGACAGCAACTAACAAGTACCTAAACTTCAAAGAAAAAATTTTTTTTCCAAACAAATGTCTTGTGTTTATTTCTGGTTTGACTTATAGTTCCTTGCCCCACCCGCTTAACTTGTGGACAGCAGACTGGGGACTCAAGCAGAACTTTGTCCCAGTGTCTTGATCGGCTTTGGGACGCACAGAAGCTGAATCCTTCCCGTCATTCTTGTGACATTTCTAACATGAGTGAAGGACAGTATTCTTGGGGATGTTTCTGTATACTTTCAAGCCTTCAATGACCTGAGCGTCTGTTGAAACATTTCATCTAGAGGTGGACTGTACTCCCCAGAAGGCAGATGAGTGATGCAGTTATCTTCTCCCAGCTTTTTGTTGGCCCAGGTCCTATTTGGGTAATTTTGGGTTGTCTGCACTATGTCTAAGTCACAATTTAGGACACTGTGATTAATGATATGTATTAGTAGCTTTGAGCCACTTGTGTGAATTGAGGTAGTTTCACACTGTTGTGAGAATTCTTATGTGACATAATGAGTGGAATAGCAGCCGCCTTTGTGAATCCGAGCATCCAGGATGTAAGTCATAGACAAATTTAAAATAAATCGGTGTTTGCCTTTCAGAAAATTTGAAGACCCTTATTTTTCCACTGTGTGGACAGGAGGTGTCACTGGGAACTCACTATACAAAATAAAACTGGTACTGCATTTTGAGCTTTCAGCAGTCGAATGACTTTCTTAGCTAGGTAAAGAGCCGAGCTGAGATCCTCCCCCAGGCCCTTTTGGAATTCCAAGTTCAGGTTCTCTTCTGCTTTGTGTCTGCTGTTGGAAAGCATGTTGGCTTTGGTTGAGGAGCGAATGGGGAAGAGTGTATAATTCTTCTGTCTTTCAGCTTTTTTCTTTTCCAACAAATTTCTTGTTTTTGTTTCTGGTTTGCAGCCATAACACTAAAACAACGTCTTGGCTAGATCCTCGGTGCCTGAACAAGCAGCAGAAGCCTCTGGAAGAGTGTGAAGATGATGGTGAGAAACCAGGAGAATGTAGGGTTGGGTGGATAGGGGTTTGTTAACGTGCAAGTTTGGAAGAGTCTGTGGCAAGGTCAACCAGGTTTTAACGATGTTTTTAAAAAATGTAATCCGGTTTCTAGTAAATATGCTGTGGTTTACAAAAGCAGGAGAGAAGTCTGTAGAATTGTTTTCAGAAGAACAATTTATCTATACGTAAAGGCAAGTGCAAATAAATATCTCCATTAGAAACAGAACTTTAGCACAGTCAGAAACTGTTCAAATGAAGATATAACCTTTTCAGGAATTTGGAGAGGACTCTAGAAGTTCTCTAAGAAAACCAAAGTGCTCTGGTCACTTATACTTAAGGACCCCTAACCCTATCTTATGTACGTCTTAGGGAAAAACATCAAGAGCTGTTCTTGAACTCTTCATGTTTCATAACTCTGTGATTTTCCCAGTCTGGGGTAGCGGGAACAGATCCTGACTTGTTTGGGAATCTCTATATAATTTAGAATACATCCTAAATATCTAAGGAGGCCTGGTGGTGAAACGGTTAAGCCCTCGGCTGCTACCTGAAAGGTCGGCAGTTTGAACTCACCCAGTGGCTCTGAGGGAGAAAGACCTGGCAATCTGCTCCCAGAAAGATTACAGCCTAGAAAACCCTATGGGGTAATTGTCCTCTGTCACATGGGGTCACTGTGAGTCAAAATTGACTCAGTGGTACCTAACAACAATAATAACCTAAATATCTGAAAAATGTATTCTTTCAAGAAGGAGGCTGAGGTGTTGTCCACAGCCCCATCCCCACTTAATCTTGGAAAAGAATTAACTGGCTGTAAGAGTTACTGTTTAAAAAGTTTATTTCAAAGCACTGAAGTTTCTAATTACTTCCCCAAAATGAAAAAAAAAAAAGACTGTGTTCCTTTTCAGTACACTGAAATCTATTCCAAGTTCTACAGAAATTACTTTTTCTAAATAGACAAATTAGAAGGGAAATGGTTTGCTTTCCTACTCATTATTCAATTCTGACATTTGAATTAGTAGTATAATTATTGAATACATATTTTACTGCAAGATAACAAAACTTTATTAATATATCCTATGGTGCAGAATTGTTGCATATATAAACCTGAGATTTGTTTGAAAATGTAAGCCAATATTTTAAAGTATAATACTGTTGAAACTTTGTGCTCCAACATCCTTCCATTATAAATGGTTTGAAAGTCAACAGTTAATGAACATAGAATTGCATAGTCATATTTATATGAGTGACTTCAAGTGAAAATACAGGTTCTGCTGAGTTAGGAGGCGTGACTGAGAAACTTGTTTTATTTTGGTGGTGTGGTCCTTACCGTGAAGAAAGGATGGAACGGGTATGGTCATCTCTCTTATTTTGCAGTCTTGGGGAGTAGCTTAGTTGTCTACTGCTGCTATAACAGACATACCACAAGTGTGTGGCTTTAACAAATAAATTTATTTTCTCACAGTGTAGGAGGCTGGAAGTCTGAATTCAGGGTGCCAGCTCTAGGGGAAGGATTTCTCTCTGTGTTGGTTCTGGGAGAAGTTCCTTGTACTCCTTTCCACATCTGTGGGTCTGGCATTCCTTGGAGATCTACATGTGTCTTAGTTATCAATCTTCCCCTGGGTCTAGGAGATTCACAGCGCAGGAACCCTGGGTCCAAAGGATGCACTCTACTCCCAGCTCTTCTTTGGTGGTCGTGAGGTCTCTCTCTCTCTCTACTCACTTCTCCTTTTATGTCTTGTAAGATAAACGGTGATGCAGGCTACACCCAGGGAAATTCCTTTTACATCGGATCAGTGCTGTGACCTGAGTAAGGGTGTTGCATCCCACCCTCATCTTCATTAACATGACCTAATCCTGCCTCATGAACATAATGGACAGCTAATTCCCAAATGGGACCGTAACCACAGGTTATGGTTAGAGGCTAGGATTTGCGACACATGATAAAATGGAGGATAATCAGATCACAAAACAGAGGACAGCCACACAATCCTGGGAATCATGGCCTAGCCAAGTTTACACGTATTTTAGGGGGACACAGTTCAATCCATGACAGGGGTTAATGAACTGTCCTGATTATTGAAGTATTCTGTTTAATATATGCTACATAAATGACCAATTTTCAAAGGATCAGAACGTACTAAAACCATAAAACTTCACAGGACAAAATGTACTCTTATTTGATGCCTGATGGTTTTTGAAGGCAGGTTAGGTATTCTTATTACCATAGGGTGCTTCAGTGCCAGTCTCCATCATGCTTATTCTAAGAATGTATGAAAATGCCTGTTAATATAATTTTATAGATGATAGAAGACTACAGAAGCTTTTACTGAGAAAAATTGTGAATGGAGTAAAAGTATTGAGTAGAATTACTGAAGGTTTTTGTTACCAAATCTAGTCAGTTTTAATTCTTAGAGTTCTTGTCATTTGTGTTACTGCTGTTCCTTTGGAAGAAGTATGTAGCCAAACCAAATGCGGTTAGTTTAGTAATTATCCCTTTAATAGGAGCATTTACGTATTCTGTTCTGTGAGAAACCATATGTATTATGTCTCTATGCATAAGCAATATCAACATATAACCACTCTATACTTCTATGACAAGTATCAGTTCACATGCCTGCATTTCCTGTTGCCAGTTAAACAAAGCTGTCTTTTGTTATTTTTTATATCATGATACAAAATAGAAAAACATTGTTGGTCACAGTATTGCTCTGGTGTGTCTGTCTCCTCTTTGTGGGTCATATACACCTGTAATGTAACAAGATAGCCAGCATACCTAGTTACTGTAAACATTCTCCATTTTCTGTTTCCTATCCATTTTCTGTTTTCTGTTTCTTATCCCTAGTTTGGGATTTGGGTCTTCAGTTTAGAACACCTTTTGTCATTGTTACGTGTCTAGTTTGATAAGAAGCCTTTAACTTTGCCTTCAATCTCCAGGCCAATACTTTAAGGTCTGGTTAGTAACACCAACTGGTTGTCTCAAAGACATTTCCAGCTCAATCTGATTAAAACCAAACTAATGATCCCCCGCAATCTGATTCTCTCCAAGTATTGCCTGTCTCACTTGAGAGTTAAATTCATGCATAGTTAAGAGGTCCGCTTTGATCTATCACCTTTCTTCAAACCCATTTCTAACCATCAACAGCTGAGTTCATTTTACCTCCTAAATATCTCTGGAATCCGTTCAGTTTTTCCTTAGCACCTTTTCCATCCTAGTCCAGAGCACACTTGTCTCCCACCTGGACTCTTGCCCACTCTCATTTTGACACTGCAGCCAAGCGGTCTTTTTGAAATGTAAGTGTGACTGTGTTATCACTGACCACCCCCATAAGCCCGTTCAGTGGATCTGGTCTGCTCAGACTAAATGCCAAGTCTGCAAGTTGGCTCTCCAAGCCCCGTGTACTTTGGCTTCTTTCTCCTTTCTCCCTCTCACTCTCGGCTCTTCATCCCCTCCGATCCTCACTGAGTTCCTGCTTCATGACAATTAGATGTGTGGTTCCGCCTTGTTAGAATACTCCTCCGTTTCACAGTTAGTGATTGAATTACTTGTTTGTGTGAAGTATGTCCTCTGCACTTTACATGCGTCAGTGAATGTTGTTGTTGGTGCCATTGAGTCGGTTCTGACTCATAGTGACTTCCATACAACAGAATGAAACGCTACCCGGTCCTGCACCCTCCTCACGATTGTTATGCTTGAGCTCTTTATTGTAGCTGCTGTGTCAGCCCATCTTGTTGAGGGTCTTCCTCTTTTTTGCTGACCCTCTACTTTACCAAGCGTGATGTCCCTCTCCAGGGACTGGTCCTTCCTGATAACATGTACAAGTATGTGAGACGAAGTCTCGCCATCCTCCCTTCTAAGGAGCATTCTGGCTGTACTTCTTCCAAGACAGACATCAGTGAATACAGCAGACAAAAAGCCCTGCCCTTGTAGAGCTTATATTTTACTAATTTTTCTCCAGAAGACTTTTGGATATATTTTACATATCCTTCAGATCATGGCTCAGGGACTTTTTCTGCTACCTTGCCTTTAAACATGATTTTAAAAAAAACAAAAAACAAACCCCTTGCTGTCAAGTCAATTCCAACTCATAGTAGCAACACTATAGGACAAGGAGCAGCTGGTGGATTCGATCTGCTGACCTCTTGGTTAGCAGCCAAGCTCCTAACCACCATGCCACCAGGGCTCCTTGGACATGTTTAGGTCCCTTTATTATATGTCTTAATCTAGTACTCGCTAGATTTTTCTCCAGAAGACTTTTGGATTGTGAAAGAAAAGTCTATTGCAGTTTTAATTTTAGGTTTATTTATGTGAGTTTTAGACTTCTTCCTCTTCCAAAAGGATAGGTATGTCTGATTTTGCTTATTAAATATCTCTGTCACCTACCACAGTGACTGGTACCTAGTAGGTCTCAATAAATAATTATTGAAGAAATAAACAAATTCCCCAGAACATTATTAGATAATATTGAAATGAGCATTTTCATGAAAGATTTTGTGCAAATCAGATTTCCTTTTTAAGAAACAGTACCAGTGTCAAAACTTATTATTTGCAATTGGATAATATTCAGATCCAGAATTTACAGAGTGTGTATGGCCATGTTGGTTACTAAAAGCAAAGACTGATTGATTCATTCATTTTTCATTTGAGAAGTATTTAGTGAATACTTACCATGTACCAGGCACACAGTGGACACTGGATATACTGCAGCGAAGACAGACCTGATCCTTGTGTTTGTGGAGCTTGCAGGGGTGGTGTGGTGGGGAAACTTTTTGTATGAAATGATTTACTGCGTCCAGTCATGTGTCGTCTTCTAATAATACAGTGTCTTACTGACAGTGGGAGAAGGTCAAAAACGGAAAGGATTTGACTTGTTTTGCTCACTGAAATTATTGAGAACATTCTCATTCTATTCTAGTATTTCTGAGCTGTTTCACTTAAAAATCTTACATGCAGACCCAAAGTCAGTAAACTCTGCCTCTACTACTCCTTCAGGGCAGGCTTCTCTGAAATTCACTCATGACCTTGATGAACATCATCGTGACATAAACTCATCTTTCTAGCTCCTTTTGAGAAACACTGAAGTGCAGTTTCTGACAGGAGCTCTGGTGGTGCAGTGGTTAAGAGCTTGGCTGGTAACCAAAAGGTCGGCAGTTTGAATCTACCATCCGCTCCTTGGAAACCCTGTGGGGCAATCCTACTCTGTCCTACGGGGTCGTTATGAGTCAGAATCCATTCTTCAGGCAGCAGTATTACTTATAAGCAATGCTTTAATTGTGAGTGTAACTGCCTCACTGACTAGAGGATTATTGAAGGATTAAAAGGACCAATATTGAAAGACCTAACAGCTCTGTTTGCTTGAATAAGGTCTGTAATAAGTGATTTCCCACTTCAGAACATTGAAACCACAAAGGTTATTTGTCATCGTTTACAACCAATCAAACCCTATTTTGACATGCAAGGAAATGAGCCATATAATTATTGTGCCAATATAAGCTCTTACCGTTTTGTGATTTACACTGAGGTTGCAAGTTTACTAGACAAGACAGGTGAAATAAGCCACAATGCAGGTAAGGACAAAATGAAGTGATATGTTTGTTGCTTTGTTTCTGAGGAGAGTTTCCTTCTTGGTGCTGGTGTCTGAACTTGTCTCTCTCTCTTTTCTGTCTCATTCCTGCTATTCCTTTGGAGAAGAAGGGGTACACACGGAGGAGCTGGACAGCGAGCTAGGTAAACCTCCCAGCCTGCTGCTGCTGCATGACCTGCCCTGCATGGATGTGTCTCCCGTGAATTGTTAATCCCTCTGTTTCTTTAGTTTGCTCTTCTCCAATTACGATTTTCATTCCAGCATATCCACAAAAGGTCAATCTTACAACCCATGTGTCTGACGGCAGGCATCACACAGAGTTGTAATAAATTGTGTCTACAAAGAAAAAGTGAGTGAATTGAGACTAGAAGAGAGTTAGCAACTGGGCCAGCGGCAGTCTTACGAATTGAGGGCTGGCCGAGAACTGAGAAATGCTTGCTGTGTCCCTTGAACCTTCCTGTAACCCATCGGACCTTATGTCTTTATTTGTTTAGTATCTGTGTTCATCTATGTGGGTAATACAAAAAAAGCAAAGGAAAACAAATAAAATCCCACAAGACTAAATTAAGGATTGTTGTAGGAGTAGCAACAACAAAAAAAACCTGAATAGTTGATAAGTCTTAGTATGATGTTGTTTCTGAGTCACGTGCTCCACACGTTGAGCTTGCTGTTCTTGTGAATGGCTTGAGAACCAGATGCTGTGTTGGGAGGCGCCATTTTCCTTCGAGTGTGCGTATTAATGTAAATCAAGTCCTGACTGCTCCAGCTATTGTAGTTCAGAAGTAATTTATATTACCAGATAATGCCAAACTCTTTTATCTTTCCTGTTGGAATACATTGAATTATGTTTCCTGCTAAATTTGATGTTCTGTGTTCAACTTGGAGCAATATTAAAATCCGTTTGCATTCCATCCGATGCTTCCACTGAGGGGTAGATGGGGAAGCACAAGTTTCAGCTGAATTGCAGATGACAGCTTTGGCTAACTGAAAATTGACCAGAGTATCTATGTAAAATAGAAGATCATCAGTATGATTAGAACTGTCCTAAGATTATTGAGTCTGCCTAGCATTTTTGAAATTTCCTAAAGAACTGAAAATATAAATGTATTTTAATACAGATTATTGTTTTCATTTGGTTTTATTTATTTTTATGTAGATAATCACGGTTGATAACAGTTAAGATATGCTAGAATTTAGCTCTATGTTTGGAACATATCCTATTGAAATTGATGGATATGCCAGGATGATGGTCAATAACTATTGATTTATCTATTTTTAAAGATATTTAATAAGTTGTCCTTGTGGTCACTGTGGTAGGAATGACTTTGAGGTTAACCCTGTATAATAGCATGATTTGAACCTAATTTTGTCAGAAAAGAATCTATCAGCTCAGTGATATTAGATAAGTAATTGAAATAGACACAACTAGTTTTTCCAGACAACAAAATGAGTGCCTTAATCATCTTGCTGAATCAATTTAAACCACTCTTGATACCTGGATAATATATGTGAGTGACCCTGTGGCTGTGGTAGGTGGCCACTGGAGATAACACAGCTCTACTCGGGGACACAGCCTCGTGGAAGTGCAGATGTTGAAATTTTAGGGAAAGAAGCGTCTATATTGTTCTCCATGCAACAGTTATACTGTGGGAACATTGCTGTGCTGTTAAATACTCTAAAAAATGAGTTTGAACGGCTATATCTTATCCCTTCTCAGTGCCATAGCCCCTTTCCCGGGTGTGGTTTGGTGAGTGGTGGAGTTGTCTCTGGGGTCATATCAGGCTGTCCAGCTACAAATCCTGGCTTCCCAGCTTACTAGTCTCCGTCCTTAGGCAGATTGTACAACCTCTCTTAGCTTCCCTTTCCTTTTTGTTACGTAGGGGCTAAAACAGTAGCTCCTGTGGTGCTTGTGAGGAGATTTAATGAGTGTCTTACTCTCTGTCGCTGTGATCAGTACGTGTTACTGTGATTAACCATTTTATTATTTATTAATTAATTCCCTCTTGTTGGGATGTCAGTACGTCCTTATGCTCCTTTTTCCCCTAATACAGGAGAGGGGAGGAACGTGTTCTATGCTACAGATGTGCCCTTCTAGGTAGGGTAGAGATGTGACCCCTGATTTTTGCCTACACATGTCCACCATGTCAGGAGTGGCTCCCACAGACACACGTACTGTTTTCTGTTGCCTTCACGGCAGGTTCTATTGACAAGCTCACTGCCCATTTTCTTAATAAGAGGGTCCTAATTTCAAACAATAGCAACTGTCAGGCTTTTTGTGAACAATGCGATTCCAGATGTGACAATAAAGCCCTCTCTACAATCTGCCTCTGAGAGGCGTGGGTGGTTGGCTTGGATGTTGGACACAGATCATTTGATTATAGAGCTGTCATTTCTGAACTCTGTTGTTTGAGCTGGGTCAGTAGCTCCATTATGCACTTCTGGTTTGCAGAATTTATCACATCCTCTGCAGACATTGCCCAGAATCGAGAAACACTTGCAGAACCTTCTTTTGGAATTATAGAATATTTATGTGGTAAAACCGATGAGGAAAGGTAGACATAGGAAGAGAGTTCCCCTCCCAACCAAAACTAAGCCACCATTTTGCAACCAAAACTAAGCCACCATTTTGCAATTCATCTCTGATTTTGTATGTGACTACTGCTGTGTGCTGACAAATCTCTTTTGAAAAGAACTGAGAACATTTGACTGCTCACTTTTTGCTTCTGTAGTGGCGGAATAATACAGCGTAAGAGTTTTGAAGCAGGAATAGTAAGCATGCGGGCCATATAAATCTGTCCTATTCCTTTTGCTTTTTCTTAAAACAGTTGGTATTTCTTGAATACTTCCTATGTGCCGGGTGCTGTGCTAAGTGTTTTACAAGCATCCTCATCTCATCCACAGTCGACCTTTGAGGTAAATCCAGGAGGAAGGTGTGGTTCAGAGACCCAGTGGCATAGAGCAATGAAGTAGTAGAACAAAGGCTCACTCCCAATCTTGGCAACTCCCAAAAGGGTTCTGGTTGCCTGTGATCTCTGACATTCTTGTCTATTGCCTACACATGGAGGGTGGCTCTTCAGTCAACTACAGAGTTTTTTAGTAAACAAAATTTTAATGTAGTTATTTTCTGACTTTAGATATTTCCTCCCATTTTCAGTTTTTTTTTAGAACTGAATGGCAAATTCTAGGACAAACATCTTCCTTTTTTAAATTGATGACCCGTTTCTATTTTAAGCATTAGGAGACTAATTCCTGTTATTAAGATAATCACCACATTGGAAGTGAGAAATCTATCGTTTCAATTTAAAATGAGTTTTAACTTGAAAAACTGGAAAATTTCTGGAGTTTGCTAATCTCTTTCAGAATATGGAGGCGTTTAAATTTACAAAAGTCTTCAGAAATATCAGCTGGCCACCTCCATTTTCCAGCTCCATGAGTGTTAGTTGTTGGTATGAGAGGGGACTTCCTTTCTTGTACCCTCCATGCAGCTCCATCAAAGCACTGACCACGAGGCGGCTGAACTGCCTGCTTAGACGGTGACCTGTGAGTTAGCTGTACACTCCCAGGCAGAGTAGGCACTCAGGAAATGTTTTTTAAATTACTAATTAAGTGAATTGAATTCTGAATATTTTCCCTATTTCCTCTAAAGATAATCAGGCTAAATATTTAGATTGCAGATTTTGAAGAGGTTTGGGTTCCCTTGACCATGAGGTGGCCCCCTCACGTTCACCCACTCTTTTACCCCATGCTGGCACACGTGGAGGGCTGTGCACCGATTTGCAGTTTTTTAATCTTCCATTTCCTAACTCTTTGGAAATATTTTCCTGGTTCATTTTCATTTAAATGGTAATTTCCAGCTCTGCAAGGGGAGACTGTTTCCCAGGCATTCGATTTGCATCAGCCCCCAAGACTCAGCGTATCAAAATGCCAAGTTGTATCAACATCTGCAGATTGGACCTGTCTTGCATTTTAGTACCTTATGTCTCCCAGAATTCAAAGACTTCTTTAAAACCTGCTAAGTGTTTAAAAATATTAGAAGAAAAGGAGGAAAACCTGTCTCTTTGTTTGTAAACAAGTAACATGCAGAGCAAAAACCATGAAATTAATGTCTCTTGATGTGCAGCCAAATCTGAACAAAACATAAACTTTGATTAATTAGCCTGTGTGTGTTTGTGTGCACACAAGTGTCTCCGTTCAGCCCGTCTGTGGCATGTGTAAGTCCTGTGTCCTGATGAAACGGTCACTGTTTGAAAATACTGACCACATGATACCTTGATTTAAAAAAAAAAAAAAAAAACCTCATTTTAAAACAAGTGATATTTCAAGTGGTTGTAGTATCCCAGTCCAGTGGGGCCCACTGGCCACTTCTAGGACTGATGATTCACTTTAGAATATGGTTTTGTACAAGTTTGCCTTAACTCCATGTATGTAAGCGTGGCTTCAAGATTAAGTTGAGTAATTGCTGCCGTGCCTGAAAGGAGTGCTTAATGATCAGACACGTCCTGTTTGCTTCTTTCTCCAGCTACAGTAGTCTGGCACGATGGGCTTTCCCATAATAGATCATTGTTGTAACAGAACTCACTGTTACCTAGCTGATAAAGTTCCAATCTGTGATACAAAGCCTTATGAAAGAAGATCCAGTGGAGCACGGTTGAGTTTTCAGAAAGGCACACATGTCCCCCAGTGCTGTTCTTACTGCTACATTTAAAGGAATCATCTCTGCCCCCAGGAGCACGGCTCTCCTGGTAAAGTGCTGGGGAAGATGGGCCTGTCTAGACATAGCGACTGAGTGATGGATACATGCAATTCAAGAATCCACCTCCGTGTGGACGTTTTTACTAACGAGGAACAAGGAGAAAACGAGATGCAGATTTTACTTATTCCATGGAGAGCAGAACAGCACTGTTGTATTAAAAATGAAAGGAAGCATTAAATTTCACCCATGTTTTGCTTGTTTGGTAGGATAGTCAAGAAACAAAATGAGAAACTGTAAGTATTTAAAATAGAAACTAGGCATTCAAGGCAAATTTTGACTGTATTTCCATTAAAACAATTTAATAGCTGACTTAGAATGAAGGCATCTGAGGCTGAATTTTATTAAATTTTCTTCCTTACGTAAAATATCAGTAGATAAAGAATTACTCTTCGTGTAGGAAAACACACTATTTTGTTAAATAAAAAGAATTCACACTGTTTTTTGTTGTTAGGATACACATTTTATTTGGATTTAAGGTTTTTGTTTTTGTTTTTTGTCTTTTTCGTGAGTCTTTCTCTTTATTCCTAACTCGATTATTGAAAATCCACAGGCCCTTCAGCAATATGCCCTTCTGGTTCTAAATATTCTTTTATTTTTCAGAGCTGCCTGCTGGATGGGAGAAGATTGAAGATCCTGTCTATGGTATCTACTATGTAGAGTAAGTTGCTCTTAACACTCCACACTTTAGTTAGTACCTTCTCTGTAATTGTGCACATTTATGCTGTTTTACCAAGGCCCAGCATGGCCCTGGCATATGGCAGGTTCTTAACAAGTATTAATTGAGTGAATGAATGATAGAAAACCCGGGATTCAGTAGACCATTCTTTAAGAGGAAGACCTGTTTTGCCTACTTTTGCCCTGCCCAGGTCTGAACTTCTCAGTAATTACTTATTTATCCATTCAGATATTCTAAAAGGGTCAGACAAATCTTAATGATTTATGTAATGTTGTCAGAATTAAGAAGGACTTTGGGAACCATCCTAAGTTGCAGGAGCTTTTATGCCTCCTTACCTCCCCCTTGCCTGAGGACCATGCATGTGGCTCTTGTTTTCCATTTTTAAAGTCTCACACCATCATTCTCACCTCTTTACTGTGCACCTCATTCTAGCACTGGGCATGCACTTCATCTTTTCATCAGAACTGCGGGCATGATGGTTCACTGCTAGAATTCTCGCCTTCCATGTGGGAGACCTGGGTTCAGTTCCCAGCCAGTGTACCTCATGCGCACCCACCACCCGTCTGTCAGTGGAGGCTTCCATGTTGCTGTGATGCTGAACAGGTTTCAGCAGAGCTTCCAGACTAAGACAGACTAGGAGGAAAGTTCTGGTAATCTACTTCTGAAAATGGGCCATTGGAAACACTGTGATCACACCATTTGCTTCCCATTGTGCATGAGGTTGCCCTGAGTCAGAGGCCAACTCAGCGGCAGCTAACTGCAACAGCAACGTATAGATAGAGTGACACGAGAAGAAAATTTAAAAATCCAAGAGATAAAATATTGAAAAATATGCTTTATATCATTTCCTGTGAGAAAGATGAGACATAACTAATAAAATGTCCTTTGAAAGAAACAGATGCCGTGTCAGTGTTCTATAGTCATCATCATACCTGCCGCAGTGAAGATAACGGGCGTGCTTTCTCTCCCTCATGCTGCTGGCAACGGAAGGTCATTTGTTTAATACCCTGATGATGTGAACATATGAAGCGAAATGCCAGTCCATAAAATGCTCAGCATTTTATTGTAAAAAATTACGAGTTCAATATAGCAGGCGTCTTGGCCAATTACTAGCATTGCCTCTCTTTACCTAACAGGAAGGATTGGTGATTTGGGGTAGCAGAGAGGCAGACAAGGTCGTTTTTCTGACCTTCCTAAGATAAATTCCCATTGTGTGCCCACAGATCATCTTTCTCAAAGATATACAGAGGGGTTTCTGCCTATTTGGGGCCCATTTCTGAGTTCTCCCTCAACTCCTTTGTGCGTCAGGAGGGAAGAGCAACAAGGAGGGATGCTGTGAGGGGTGAAGAGCCGTGGTCTAAGGGGAGTCAGTATCTGCCTGTATACTTCTCTTCCTCTGTCGTTTCAGACCCTCATGGCTTTTCACGTTACGCTGTTTCTTAGAAAGAAATTGCCTGCAAGAATTAGGAAATAAAAGAGTAGGCTGTAATCGGCAGTAAGGGTAATCAGTCTACCCACCCTGTTACAAACCTGCTGTTATCTTTTGATGTGGCTTTACAAATATTTAAAGTTCTGAATAACCACATAGTAAGTATATTCCCAAGCTTCTAACAAAGTATAATTTTGGTTTGATTCTAGTTCTTTATAAATATGAGTATGTATAGATTCGTGTGTACATATGTTCGTGTGATGTGTGTGTGTAAATATACAGTGACACCTGTGAGCGCTGGAACGCAACAGGACTGCCTTGTTTTTCTGGCTCTCTTAAGTTTTTTGCCTTTGACAGGGTGCTTCCCATTTTTCTATCACTCTGTATTAAGAATCCTGCCTCATAAACACCCATTGAGTTTTCCTTCTCTGACAGGTTTCTGCCTTACACAGGTTCCAGCTTTCGCAGGTTTTACTCTGTGTGTGTGTGTGTGTGTGTGTGTGTGTTTTGCTGTGGACTTCGTTTGGGGGCCATGTAAAAACATATCTAGATCCTTGGCACTTTGAACACATCACATCTCCTAAAGTTAGCTTTATTTGGATTCTTTTTGCCTAAGGCCTATACTTTTAATCTTGCCTGTGCATCTCTTGATCAAAATAGCTGATAGATGTTGGTGGAATCCTTCTTTAATTTAATTGTTTGGGTGAATGCTTATGCCTCTGTGAAACCTACTGTAGGAAAGTTACACAGTTCTGAAAATCTCTGTTACAGACAAGGTCATATCTCTGCTTTAATCTCATTTTTCAACAATTCTAGGATCCACTTCTTATTGAATTAAAAATTTCCTGTGTCAGGTAAAACTTGGAACATTTAGGGAGAGTCAGTGGCTAAAATTTTGGGATTTGAAGGCAGGCAGAGTGAGCTTGTATGGGTGTTCACTGCTCACTAACTGTAATATGTTGATGAGTCATTGCCTAACTGAAGTTTACTTTCCTTATCTGTAATATAAATCAAAACAGGAGCTGCCTCAGGGCATTTATTGAGGATTTTAAGATATAATGCGTGCAAAACAGGTAACACAGTTCCTGCTACAGTAAGCAGTCAGTATATACCAAAAAAAACCAAACCCCATAGGACAGAGTAGAACGACCCCACAGGGTTTCCAAGGAGCGCCTGGTGGATTCGAACTGCTGACCTTTTGGTTAGCAGCCCAGCTCTTAACCACTGCGCCACCAGGGCTCCAGTCAGTATATGGAAGCTATTAGTTTTT